TCTTTTTCCGTTTGCTTTCTATATAACCGTCAAATAAATGTCTTTTTTTTTTTTTTTTTTTTTCAAAAAAATTCAAACATGTTTTCTAGAATAACAAAAGAAAGGTTAGAGAGGTCATAGAAGTAATTGCATTCAACCGCTTACTAGCGAAATCACTGTTTTATTATCATGCTTTATTTCCCAAGCTGATAGAGGTTAAATTTGTGAAGATTCCCCTAAGGAGTACATTTATGATCCCGATGTATTTATACTTGAATTATGATCTTTCCGACAAACAATTGTTATGTTTGTGTTTTTATGTTGCTTTCAGTTCTTCGGATAGTCTAATTTCTGTTATATAATATAATCAGTGAAAAGTTTTATAACATATAATCTAGACATGACATCATCATCATCTTACCTCGAATATCTTTCTTCCGAGATCATCAGAGAATTTGAAATTAAAAATACCTGCTCACAAAACAAAATTTATGGCTAAGTCCTTTATGGTTTAAGGTGCGAAATTATAGAATGCCCTACCTCTGGAGGTGAGACGTGCTCAGTCACTTTCCATTTTTAAAAACCTTGTCAAGAGTCACTATTTGTCACTTTAAATCTGGTTTAGATACAGAATGTATTAACTATGTTTATGGATATATGGATATATGTATATATGTTATATATAAATATATGTGTATTTATTTTGTTATTTATGTACTCATTTATCTATTTATTTATTAAATTTTTACAACAAAGAATGTATTTATCTTTTAAAATTTATAGAATTTTACCCACACCCTTAAAATATTCTTTTCATATTATGTCCATCCAAAGGTTGCCTGGAAGAAATTGCTTTAAGTAATAAGGCCGCCCATTGTACAACCCTTACATAATTGTTATTTTTAATGTATTCTTTTTACCATGGTGTGTGCAATAAAGAATATTCATTCATTCTTTCATTCATCTTTATTTCATTGCATGATTTTTATTTTGGTTATTTATTTTGTCCCCATTTTAAGTACAGTTTTAAATTACTTTTTTAGCATAAAGATAAATTCATGTACCATTCATATTGCAGTTGTTTCGATACTATGAACGTGGTGTGTCTCTGACGAGTTTTTGCTTAACGTTGAACTGTCCATGGCTAGTAGGTTATGAGTAAGGCCTTATTAGGCAGTATTGGCAAAAACAATTCCGTTATCTAAAGTACTATATCACTACCAACTTTCGCATTTTAATAACTAAATCAGAGTAAAAATTCCGTTATCAGAAGCACTGCCAACTTTTTTAATAAATAAATCAGAGCTCTTGGTCAAAATTTGACGCCATTAGAGAGTTAGACGTTACAATCATTAGAAATATCCCTCACGATTTTTCTTGACGTTCGCAAAGTTTACGACTTTGTGTGTTTTAAACGCAAACAACCATCTGTATTCTAACTTTTGTTTCAAACTTTTGTGTTTGGAGTCGTGTCCTTAAAGTTACGAGAAACTTGTGGCGCGGCTTGAGTTCTTTACAATAAAATCCATACAGTAATCCCTAATTTAGCTATTTATATTGTCTATGGATATTTTGGAATTAACAGCTTTTTGTAATATCGTGAAGTTGTTCTCTTTTCAACCACTTTCTGTGTGAATATCAAACATTTCAGATTATTATCTCAACTTTTTGTCTGTCAGTGTGCGTAAGCATCGTAAAAATGCTTATTATTTTTTTTTATTATAACTCTATATTATACTATTACTCTCATATTTTTTCCAAACACGCCGTAAGAAGTATAGTATTCAAAAATGTTGATACGTCGATAATATTAGGTTGTTCGGATCAAACCCGTTTCAAACGGTTTTGTATTTTTATCGCAATATTTAACGACAATAAGATCAACATACGATTGAGTCTTCGGTTCAACCACCATATTCTTCTGACTTAAGTCCGTGTGATTATGGTTACATTCATGAGATAAAGAGAAGAATTGGTGGTGTTGCTTACTCTGATGCCAATGCCTTGCGAAAAGCTTTGGATAAATAAATAACCGATGGCAACCATCATGGAAGGTGAGAAAGTTACCTTAGCGCTGACAAGCGCCTGACTACCTCTAGTTGATCTTTAAATATAAGTTCGTATAAATGAAAACTATATCTTTTATTGGAATATTTGAGTGGGCGGGTTTTATCCGAACAGCCTAATATTTCGTCGAAATTCTCTATATCATTTTGTCTCAAAATTGTTATGAACATTACTAATTAAATAAGTAAAGGCACAAAGTCATGAACTATAGATTGGAATACGTGTGGTGCGTTTTTGTATATTTGTTGTTTTTTATGTGTACACTGAGTAATCACGGGAAGGCACAAAATGATTTTGGTAAATTCGTAATCATTTCGTCGCTAAATAAATACTTTTTTGAAGATTAGCATAATAGTAATTTCTAAAATTATTATTCAAATGAGGTATGCAGCGTGGAAACGTGTGACCTAAATACCTTAACCTGCTATTATTACGCCCCGACGCATATCTTAGCGTAATAACAAAATTCTGGCTCACATAATTTCCCGGGCTCCCTTTATATTTATTTTTCCGTAACTATGCTTGCTGCGTAAGTTCTTTGCTAGTCGCAATAACCAACCTTTGACCGTAAAGCCTGCATGTTGATCTCAAAATGTATCATGACTCGCAACCAATTGATACTGTTTGGTTTTAATAAGACTATTATTGAATAATTATTAACTATCGCTAATTTACACATTCTCACTTTACTCAGTTTAATGCGAGAACAAATGAATTAAACTGGAACGATTAATTGGCTGTGTTTTTAACTGAAAACATGAATAATACTGGTTATATATGTTCCTTGTTCAGTTTAAAAAAAAGGTTAGAGTGTTTATTTAATGCTTATTTATGGTGATTACACTAAAAACAATAATGCTCATTCGATTTCTTATAATGCTCTACCTTGCGTTATATTCGGTGAAGGGGAATGTGGTATGGAGGTACAATTTGAAAAAGAAAGTTAAGGAAGAAGTCGCAATAGCAATTCGAGTTTGTTTTTTTTTTTAACTTTCCAACAGAAAATCAAGTACAGCATTGGCTGGATTGCGGCTGGGACTGTTTTAACTTATTCAAGAACTTAACAACAACTCGGTACGTGGTAGAAATACTGAAGTCGTTTGCGGTCGTCGTTTTATTTTTGGTCTGATATTGCATAAAATGTTGTGCTTAGTGTATAATATATATGAATATCTACGTTAAATTGTGTTTATCATTGACCTTGCAACCGCTCTTTAATTTTATTTCGTGATTTCTTTTGGCCAGGAACCGATGCAGAACAACTTACTAAAATTTCATCACAATCAGAAGAATGGTTCAGGGGCGCATAGAGGACAAACATAAAAACATTTATTTTTTATTTATAAAAAATAATATATGGTAAGACCCACAATGGACACACTTCCGGTGAAAATCTTCCACAGATAATTGTTACGTATTAAGACTAAATACTTATTAAATTATAAAATACTTTATTATGGATAATGGAGATCTTGTTTTCTACTCAAGAAGGTTGCAGCTCTCAATAAATTGGGCCCCGACCACTCAGCAGACGAAACGCAGAAGTCGCACTTCCACTTCACGCTGGTCATCCGTGAGGCCACTCGGACGAACCTACCCATTCGTGCAACAGAGAAGACTGCTGCTACCCATTTGTGCAACAGCGAAGACTGCTGCATGGCCCTACCACAGAAGTTGTACTCCAAGCACAAGTTGTAGGCTGTGATGGTTGCACCTAGCAAATCCAAAAACTGGATGTCGCATTTGTGCTTTAAACTTCACCACAAAATACCACACAATACCAACTTTTTCGAAAGTAGCGCCGACTAAAAAATTAAGAAACCTTCAAAATTACTTAGTAAATTGTGTTGCACGTGGAAGGCGGAATACGAGCGCGATGTTACTCTGCAATGCGATGAAAGCTGAGACAATTAGAAATACAATATTTAAGCTCGTGCCTTTTTTTATTCCGCCTTTGATTGAAATTTGAAATTGTAAATACATTGGAATTAATCTACATCGTTTAATCTCCATAATAGTATCTACGCTACAAAATATTAAGATAAGTATAATGAACATGCTAGATTTCTAGCTATTAAAACACGAGGCTTATTGTAATAACTTTATTTACTTTAACGTAATGGCTGTTGCCAACGATAACGTTTTATAGTTAATAATTGTTTTTAGTACACAATCACACGGCACGGTATCAAACTTAGGTTTGACTTAACGCTTTTTTGGTAAAGTATGAAATTAGGTATGTGACGTCACGTACAATTTTATTTACAGTATGTCACGGAAACAAAGTACAACAAGTCGGTATAATACAATCTCGGGACATCTCAATCGTGTGTAGAATAAATTTTCCATACTAGTAAATTTATTCACTTATTTATTAGGGTAAAGTTATGTATAGAATACATGAATATTATGTTCCTATAAATAAAGTATAATTATTAATTCGTTACCTTAATATGTATGATCATGAAATAGTTCTTTCAGGAAATAGTTCACTTAGGATTGATTAGTTTTGAAATTAATGTACTACAGTCATTGTACTGGTGCGTATGATACGTTAAGGTAGGAAAAATGGAATAAGGAAATTCAAATGATGAGGATATATGGAAATATGTGTATATCTCGGATTAGGATATTGAAATTAATACATCATAACGTTTTTGCGTCGACAAGGTAACTTATTCCATCTCTTGCACCAATGTTAACATCGACTAGTTATAATTGACAAGTCGTACTATAATACGACGGAAGCTCTACTATTTACACTTTACAGCTCATGTGGTGATTGAGGTAACTGGGACCCACATAGGTTTGTCAACGCACTGCAAACCCACCGACATTGCGGGTGCCCATGAAATTGCCAACTGCTTGGAGAGAGACAATATAAAATCAGCATGTTCTGCGTAGATCAACACAAAAATTAATAATTAAAAAACTGCCGGTAGCCCGGATTAACAATGACATTCAGACGTCCAATCCAACGCCTCAATCTGTCCCGTGACCACGACCGCTGTAAATATTACGATATATTCCATTAGAAGCTGTGTCCATTAGTGTATTCAAACGAAGTATTCGAGGCAAATAATGTTTTTATTTTTTTTTACTTTTTATTTAGTTACTTTCAATACCTTTGTCTTTTGTTTTTTTTTTATTTATAATTTAATATTGTTTAATTATATCGAAGCATGTAGTGTACATATATTTTGGCGGACAGTGTGTATAAGTTGCCATTATTAAGATTATTGTACCGTTTACTGTTCTATGTACCAAATAACAATTAAAAAAAAAACGAAACGTCGGGTACTAAAACCAAAATAAACGCCGTAAACATAGTTTCATTTAGTAATGTGTAATCACGTAAATACAAGAAATTGTTATCGTGTGATCCGTCTGTTTCAAACAATTTAATAACTCCGTGGCGCATCGGGGGTCGTGGGTTCGATTCCCACACGGAAAACTATTTGTGTGACCCACAGGTAATTGTTTCGCATCTCTGGGTGTTTGTCTGCGTCAAATTTATGTTTGTAAAACGTCCTTACATAACAGGATAATGTTTTATCAAAGTAGGACAATAATTAAAAAAAAATCTACACTCATAAATAAATATTATTTCAAGGATTATAGCACAAATTTAATTTTATAACTTCAACTCTCGGATAACTATGTAAGAAAGTGACCCAATTATAAGATTCTACCGTAACTTAAAGTATTATGTATTCTTAACGAGTTACTTAGTTTAGTTTTTCTCAGTCGTTCAAATCAAGCTTTAAGGACTTGTTTAAGCTAATGTGACATTTAAAAACTGTACTACTAATACATAGCAATTTCAGTACTCGGTCTTCAAAACAAAGCTATCTGCGGTCCCAGCTAGTACTTTCCTTTTTATATCGGATATCTTTCAGTGGGGTGTAATGTACTTGCTTTTTTCCAGATTATGAGACCCCAGACGGGGCGCAGCCTAATCAAGGCGCTATGTTGTGGAGTATGGGCGTTTTCCTTCTCACACAGATAGGCGTGTGCCAATTCACGACGGGTAAATATTCCAATTTCGTTTGCCTAAAAGCCCCTTTTTCGTTAAAAGCTGCGATATCGATTGCGAAGAGTCTTTTTTCGTAACATGGTTTTATTTTTGCGATATATTATGGCTCTTATTTTATTGAAGACTCTCAACTATTAAATGGGAAATGCCTAAAATTCGATTTGAAATAAAATCATCTCAGGACACTTTTTGCAACAAAACGTTTTCTGTCCCAAACTAAGCAACGCCTGTACTATGGGTACTAGATAACTGATAACTATACTCTTTTCTAAATAAATACATATTATAAATATATAAAAGCCCAGACACTGGAAAACACTATGTTCATCACAAAATATTTTTGCAGTAGTGGGGATCGAACCCACACCTGCTACTCTAATCGAGTCGTCTTTTACACACACACACACGATTTTATGAGGGATTATACTAATTACTGTAGAAGAAGGAAAAAAATGAGATATTTTTGGAGACACGTTAAAGCTTCTGTGTAACATTTTTAGCTTTTCACAGATCCGACGACAACTGACGACAATACGGTGTCTTCGTTTTACGTGCTCAGCACTGGTGCGGTACCGGCGGCTGTCATGTTGCGACTGGGAAACTCGACCATAGACAGCACGAAGTCGTTTAAAGTGCCTCGGCCCTCGGACCGTACTGAAGATGGGACTTTAACGGCCAAGATCCTGGAAATGGTGCCCCACGTGGTCTCAGCGAAGAACACTTACTTCGACCACGACAGAAAGTACGGGCCCACATTTGAGGACGCGTCCAATGGAAACGTGACGAAGATAACCGTGCAGCTGGGCGAGGATGCCTACTTGAACTGCAGGATCAGTCTATTGCAGGATAAAACGGTGCGTGTTTGTGTCTTGTTTAGTAATGAATTTTTGACTTAGTTTTTATTAAGCTATGCACAATAAGTTAAAAGAAACAGAGATAATGATTAGAACATTTGTTGTAAAAACAAAAATTATCTAGATGAATTAAGTGTAATTCGTAAAAGTGATTTTAAATCTGTTATGTAACCTTGCCATACTTTTCATGTCGATTTTAAACGATTATAGTCACATTATAGTTACAATGTAGAAAAAAGGCGTTAAGATTTTCGTCTGTGTGGCAATCAGCCGTTTAGCTCAGTGGCTAGAGCGTCAGGCCGCGAATGCCAAAGACGTGGGTTCGATTCCCACAGCGGCGATAATCTTTTCGTACTTTTTATACAACTTTAACGATTATAGTCACATTTACATTCTTGGGCAATTAATCTCGTGATTGAACTCACTAGTGGTATATGAAGTATTAATAAAGTCAATATAATTTATAAAAAATAAAGACTACATAGAAGGAAATAACAGATCTCAGTGCACCCGATCCCTAAAAAAGGCAACCGCTCTGATCCGTCCAATTACAGACCAATAGCCATCACCTCCTTGTTCTCCAAGATAATGGAGTCTGTTATCAACGGCCAGCTCCTGCGGTACCTAGAGGAGCACCGGCTGATTAGCGACCGCCAGTATGGCTTTCGTCGGGGTCGCTCAGCCGGTGATCTTCTGGTCTACCTTACACATCGATGGGCAGAAGCAGTTGAGAGCAAGGAGGAGGCGCTTGCAGCCAGTCTGGACATAGCTAAGGCCTTTGATCGGGTATGGCACAAAGCGCTTCTTTCGAAGCTGCCTTCCTATGGGCTTCCCGAGAAATTATGCAATTTGATCACCAACTTTTTGGCAGATCGGAGCATCAAGGTTGTCGTCGACGGTGCATGCTCCGATCCTAAGTTTGTCAATGCTGGTGTTCCACAAGGCTGCGTACTGTCTCCTACTCTGTTTCTTCTGCATATCAATGACATGTTGCAAATCAGCAACGTCCATTGTTATGCAGACGATAGCACTGTGGATGTCTCGTACACTGGCCGAGCTAACATTTCTCGGGAAAACGTCTACGAGAGTCGGAACAAGCTTGTGTCTGAGGTCGAGACTTTGTTAACCAAAGTCTCAGACTGGGGTCGACTAAACCTAGTCCAATTCAACCCCAAAAAGACACAAGTTTGCGCGTTAACCGCTAAAAAGTCCCCATTTGCCGTGACTCCTCATTTCGAGAACACTCCCCTACCTGCCACAGCTAGTATCGGAATGCTTGGCGTCGAAATCTCGAGCAACGTCCAGTTCCGCGGTCAGTTGGAAGGTAAGGCCAAATTGGCCTCAAAGAAGCTTGGTGTGCTCAGCAAGGCGAGACGGTACTTCACGGCTGCCCAACGCCTAAACCTCTATAAGGCGCAAATTCGGCCCCACATGGAGTACTGTTCTCACCTCTGGGCGGGAGCCCCCTATTACCAGCTTCTTCCATTTGACCGCATTCAACGTAGGGCGGCTAGGGTTATCGACGGTCAAAGTCTTTCCGATCGGCTTGATCCTCTGGCTCTGCGTAGAGATGTTGGATCACTCTGCATCTTCTACCGCATTTATCACGGGGAGTGTTCTGAGGAATTGTTTAGATTGATCCCGGCGGCTGAATTCCACCATCGGACATTGCGCCAGAACCAAAAGTTTCATCCACACCACCTCGATATCCAACGTTCCACAACAGCGCGATTTTTAAGGCATTTCTTGCCTCGCACAACCACTTCTGGGAACCTTCAAAAAGAGAGCGTACTCTTTCTTAAAAGGCCGGCAACGCATTTGTGAGCCCTCGGGTGTTGCAGGTGTTCATGGGCGGCGGTAATCACTTACCATCAGGTGAGCCTCCTGCTGGTTTGCCCCTTTTCTCCAAAAAAAAAATCTATGATTAACTTATTTTTGTAATTTATTCAATATAAATATTTAATTAATAATAACTAATTTAATTACAATTCACTGTCTAACATCACTGCCTCCATAGGTTTCATGGGTGAGACGCAAGGGCAAAGAGGAGTTGCCCGAACTACTGACAGTAGGGGCAGTTACGTACGCAGCTGACAACAGGGTGACGGTCGCGAAGAGATATCCGGGAAATTGGAGACTGCTGATTAGAGAGGTCAAGCCGGAAGATGAAGGCATTTACGAATGTCAAATATCAACGCACCCGCCGCGCGTCAGCCGTATTTACTTGCATGTCAATAGTACGTTTCTCTGTTTTCAATAACAACTCCAAAGATATCTTATTGAAAAGATTGCACGTTTCTCTTGTTACATCAACTTTTTAAACTGTCTCCACTTGAAATGGTAGTACTTTACGTATTTAATAACGTTATATGTATCTACCGAAGCTGGTGATAGCAATAAAAAACATAAAAACACTTCTACAGCTCCGCAAGTGTGGGTAGTAGATGAGGCGGGGGCGCCGCTTTCAGAGAAGTACTACGAGGCGGAATCAACGCTCGCACTGGTGTGTAGGGCTCGTCACGTCGACTCGCCTGCTGTGCTGACCTGGATTCACGAAGGGAGGGCCCTCAACGCCGACACAACTAGAGGCGGCATCAGGTAAACTTCCTTTGTGATGTAATGAGCACACTTGCTGTGAATTACTGTGTTACCCTTTCATTTGACGTAGCTGAAATGATAGTGCTGATTGCGTTTCTGTTTCTGAACAAGGTCGTCGATGATAGGGGTTGGAAAATTTATGAAATTGTTAATAAATAATTTATCAATGATAAAAATCTTAATGTAACTTATTTATTTAGTAGAGACATGGATAGTTTTATATATCCCCGCTTCATTTTTTCGTACTCTATGTATAGCATGCGTGCCACAGCTTTTTTAATATTAAAGTTGTGGCTTAAAAACAAATGGATGGCATATTTCGAAAAAGAATTTAATATCGAATTTTTATTTTTCATGTTTTTTTTTTTACTTCTGTAAAATCGTGCACTATACTTTTTTGTACGATATATAAGAACATGGGTGTTTTTTCGTGTGCCAAAGTGGCAAGGAAGCTCCAAGGTGGTTCACCTTATGTTGATAATCGCCGCCCAGGGATACTTGCAACACATTATGGTTGCAGATACGTTGCCAACTATTAATAAAGTGGACCCCAGCTACCACACCAGACGAAACGCAGAATCATAACCGTGCTACTTCACGCCGGTCTTCTGCGAGGTCGTGCTCCCCAAACGGATCTGCCCATTCGTGCAACAGTGAAAAGTGATGCGAGGCCCTACCACAGTTAAGGGTCTATCTGGAAGACTGACCTGCCCATTCGTGCAACAGTGAAAACTTACGTGGCTCTATCACAGTTAAAGGGTCTCCACTTAAGCAATTTAAAGGATGCAATTTTGCAGCGTTAGGACCGAGCAAGTGCCTGGTGGAGCGAACAGTTTGCTGAGACTCGCGCGCGTCAACAGCAGTGATGCGGGGAACTACACGTGTGCAGTGCGCGGTGCAAAACCACACACAGTTGCTGTGCACGTACTTAACGGTAATATATTACATTATATAATCGATTTATCGCATGGACCTACGTTATGACTTTGGTCATGACTACTAGACTGAGGTTTTTATAGGTTGTAATGGGTTGTACATTATCGTTACATAGTTTAAAACAAAATCGCTCCCGCTGTTTGTACCTTAGATCTTTTGGACTACGAAACGAATTTTAATGCCAGTTTTAAGAAATATATAGAGTGATCCAAGAGCAAGAATTATACCTATGTAGTATACGTGCATACTGTATAAGAGCCAAGCCGAGAAATTTAAAGATTTGTAATGTGATGTAGAGCGTGATGTAGTAGTAATGAAAAACAGCGGTAAATATTGTATATAAAGATATCCTGTAGATAGATTTAGCATAGACTAATCATTAATCATTTTAACTATAGCTAGCGACCCGCCCAGGCTTCGCACGGGTTTAATGTATTATACATATAAACCTTCCACTTGAATCACTCTATCTAGTAAAAAAACCGCATGAAGATCCGTTGCGTAGTGTTAAATATCTAAGCATAAATAGGGACAGCCAGACAGCGGGACGACTTTGCTTTATACTCTGTAGTAATATTAATAATGACTCCACCCTGCCTCACAGTAGCATATATACTGCAACCGTGCGAAACCGGGGCGGGTCGTTAGTGAATTATAAATGAAATGGTACAGAAATAGGGGTGTGATATTTTTGTATTTGTATTGATTTAAAACTAACATTTCACATCCGAGTTAGGAAGCGGGAGGCAGAAACGAAATAACGATACAAACGACACTTAGAAAATTACTTCACATTGGTATAAATAATTATATTAATAACTCAAGCTTTGAAAAAATTTTAAGCACTTTATAATACGTTCAAGTCTTTTGTAAGATATTTTTTAATAAAACTTAAATAATGCTATTATTATGTCGATGCGTTTATATGTAATTTTGATACGGACAAATTAATACCAACCTATTTTGTGGGTTTATTGTTTAAGATTTTGAAATAATACCATACATTTTTGTAGCTAAATGAACTAACAGATAATTTTCTTTAAAGCTCCAAACCAAAAGATTTTCTCGACTTTGTAATGCGTTAAACAAAACAATGTGATAACATCGATATTGATAGTCCCTACACGGCTCATACAATTATAAGTCATCTGTTAATTTGACGGTGTATATAAGGACCATTTGAACTAGACACAAAAAGATTAAGTGGTTAGGTGAAACTTCGTAGCATATTTGCGGTGCGGCCGGAATTCGGGATTGTACAAAGGAATTCATTCAACCTATTAAACCGAACTATTTGTGAATTATGCTTGGATGTAATGATTTGTAAATTTGGCAAATTTTGATGATTTTAAATCGGACATGTTTATATTAGAATCATATGTTTGTAGCAAGTCGAAAACTAGACCTACTCTGGTAAACCGGAACATCTATGATACGGAAAATGTATGGTCTCTAAATAAAACTTGAACTTAGGATTGTTATTTCAAGGAAGAGAGTAGGTACATTACATAATTTTTTTTTTCTTGTCTTCTTGTTCAATGTGTTCTTTATGGTAACGTTCTCGTTGAACACTAAAATGTGTTTACCTTTATCAAGCCGTGAACAGTTTCTGTTTTCCACCACTACACAGTATAAAACAAAGTCGTTCCGCTGTCTGTCTGTCCCTATGTATGCTTAGATCTTTAAAACTACGCAATGGATCTTGATGGGTTTTTTTACTAGATAAAGTGTTTCAAGAGGAAGGTTTATATGTATAATACATTGCACCCGTGCAAAGCTGGGACGGGTTGCAAGGTGTACATAAATTTCTGCATGTAAAAGTTTTTAACATAGAAGTGTCTACGTGCATCACTGAGAGAAACACATTTTTTATGTTTCTAATGGTGTACAGAAAAAGCATCACAAAATTTTAAATTACTGCATAAGTTCACTCGTCGAGTACAAACTGCTGCCTCCGCAAAACCGCCGTAAGCAGTTTGACGAGTCATTTCTATTTCAAATCATAAATAATAAAATGGACTCTCCACTTCCATCGTTAAAAATTCTCTTTATAACTCAATCTGGTATACTAGTAGCACGCTCTTCAGGTACTAAAAACTTTTTTCTTGCCTTATGGGTTTCATAAAATCTACAAAAACATTGTTTCACCGCGCGTTCTTTTAATATTATATTAATGACTTCCTAAAGACTTCTATACTGACAATGACTTAAAAATTCATATATATAAAATTCACATTTCACAAAGTTGATCGATTTTTACGAAATTTTATATGTTTATTTGGTAGCTGTGAGAAACGGCCGTGATCTATTTTTCACACCCCTAAGGGATCAGGGTGGTCCACCGCAAATATTTTTTGTCTACAAATTCCCGAGATTTATATGGCAAAACAGCGTTTGCCGGGTCAGCTAGTATATATGTAAATTACGTCTAATGTTGTCGGTAGCTAATACTTGTTAACATTTTTCTAGCATCTCTACCTGTATTTTCTGTGTTGATATATTTTTTCATTTTTAACATTTTTCTATAACCGATTATTACATACAAATATTTTGCCCTACGTCAATTAATATTGTATTCAATTACGGCACTGTATTAGAGAGAGGTTTCATCCAATGTGGCTTACCAGGATACACATTACAAGTGTATGCTTTGCGGAGTCCTGGTAGGACCAAGGCTGTGGACAAAAATTGCCTTCACCGCACGTCCCATTTTGCACAGATCAACAAAGCATCGAAGCAAGCGCCGTCCAATTCAGTAGATTATACGATGAGGATTCCCTGGAACCCTGAATCTCTCTTTTACACTTTTATTATTTCGATAACGCTCATATAAAAGCATTTTCAACTCATCTAGTATCGTATACACCATATTAAGTGATGAAAATGTTTCTTTGAATGCGTGGATATAAAATAGGCGGCAAAGATTGATATTAAGTATGTGAAGCGATATATATGTGGAGTGCTTGTTTTATGATTTAAAAACAAAATATTACTTTACTTTTACAACTAAATTTTTCACAAAATACTACATTCGCCAATCGTGTTTTTAATAATGCTTTACCAAATGCGAACCCTTGTGTATCTTTGTTAATTCATAATGCAGCAAAGAGTTAGAAATAGAATGTTACAAAACGTAAAATTTAAAAGGCATATGAAAGTCCTTAATATTCCATAGGAATTGTCCATTTGATAGCTAAAAGTGCTAGCGGATCCAATCGTATGTTATTTAACGCAGCTAATATGTGCCTTTGTTCCAGAAGAAAGCCTTGCGGAACTTCACGCTGGTGTTAGAGCATTTAGTCCACCTCCAAGGAGCGTCATTACTCTCTGGTCACTCATGACAATTTTAAGTGGACCAGTGTTTAATGTTCCAGTGATATCATTTATAATGTTATTGACCTTTCTCTGTACATTAGACCCCGTGGAAACGGCGATAGGGCACATTGTCTTATTGTTACCCACGTGATGAATACGTCGCCCTCTGTAAATATAATGTTTAAATTTTAAATATACATATATTATTATTATTATAAAAGATAGTTACATAAAAATAAAAAAATTGAAATATGATTGTTATGACTTTTATTCCTCTAACATTGTCCCACAATAATAAAATAACAAAATATAGATATAAGCAAAATAACTTCATTAACCCACGAAATTCGTTTCCACTAAAGCCTATGTATATTAATGTTCTCTGTATACAAATATCTTAAGAAATATCATAAAACAAAATTGAAAACTAATTATTTCCCCGAGAACCTACCTGATTTAACTCGAATGTAAAATTATAGTAAAATGTTTTGTAACGCCTTTATAGAGTAATGTAACATTCTTTATGAACAAAAGAGTTTTACGGTGGTAGGGCCACGCTGCAGCCTCGGCTGTTGCACGAATGGGCAGGCCCGTCCGGGTAAGTACCACGACCTCACAGAAGACCAGCGTAAAGTGGAAGTATTACAAATACTTTCGCGTTACGTCTGGTGATTGAGGTAGCCGGAGCCCAATTTTCAAAAGGTTGTCAACGCATCTGTAACCCTCGGGTGTGGCAGATGTCCATGGGCGGCGGTATTCACCTAACATCAGGTGAACCGTCTGCTGGTTTGACAGCTTTTCGCATAAAATAAAGAAATAAATAAATAGTGAGAATACTTGTTCATAAAGAATGTTACAATTAGCATATATTGGTAGTAACAAATTAAGTTGTAATAATCCCGTATTCTCTGAACCCTACCCTGTATATTTTATTTTATAAAGGGTAAGCCTTAAGGGAAGTCGATGGATGCAGGTGGCTCAGGATCGTGCTTCATGGCAGTCTGTGGGGGAGGCCTATGTTCAGCAGTGGACTCAAACAGGCTGAAATGATGAAGCCTTAAGAAAACGACAGATGACATCGGTTTAATTTGTTACAACCAATATTCCCTAATTATTATATTGTTTAAGGAGACACGAAAATTATATACAAACCCAGTTAAACAAAGTTTCCTTAGATCAATTAAAACTTTGGATCGTTAGTTACTCAGATACGAGTTAACTTTGTAACAATGGTGTTGCTTTAAATTTGTTATTGTCGGTAACGGATCTGAGTTTCTTGCGTCAGTGCATACCCCTATCACTGTTTCATTTATGAAGCGTAACCAGAATTCAGAACAATTTCATGAGCATTGACACAAATGGTATGCTATAAAACTTTTGTAATTAATAATAACAACCATGAGGCTTGGCTGCTTTTTTTATTTCATAAAATTAGGCATTGCAACGTCGTTCTATAAAGCATGCAATTTTTTATCGCAAGAGATCACAACACGGTATACTATAGTAGTTGATAAAATGAACGCCTAAATTACCACGCCATTAGTGCGGTCAAACTCCCAAACCATCGAATTGAATTATTAACCACAACAGTTTTAGTATCAACCACAAAACATTAACTTAGCTCCACGTAATAGTCTTCGCTGTTGCACGATGGGCAGGTCCGTCAGGGTAAGTACCACGATCTTACAGAAGACCGGTGTGAAGTGAAAGTGTTATACTTCTGCGTTTCGTCTGGTGGGTGAGGTAGCCGGGGCCCACTTCATTAAAATGTGGCAACGCACACCCAATCCTACCGGTGTTGTTTATGGCCATGGAATGATTATGGTTAGCCCATAATATCAGGTTAACGCCAGCTCGCTTGCAATCTTCTGTACATAATATAAAACAAAGTCCCGCTGTCCTTCTGCCGGGCGCTAGTAAACTTATAAAATTAAATACCAGAATGTTAATTAGACACAGGAGGCTGAGTTTGGAAAGAAATGTACTTTCGTGATTACACCTACGTTTGAGTTATCCAATACAATCTACTTTAATTTTGCTTTAGCAAAGGAATGAAAAACAGATTGCATAAACATAAAATAGAATGGCTTGTATGTAACATAATTTGTTTTTTACTTTTCGAAACTAAATGATTATTACAGAACACCTCGGTAAAGCAGTTAAAGTATAAGTATTTACGGGAAAAAAAGCAAGAAACCAACCAAAGGGTAAAACTGGACCCTATTACTAAGACTCCGCTGTATGTCTGTAGTCTGTATGTCTGTCCGTCTGTCACCGGGTACATCAAGAACTGTGATTTCACAAATTATGATGTAAGTAGTATTTCTGTTGACACTATATTAACAACAAAAAAAAAAACGGAATAAAAAATATTCAAGTGGGCCTCCTGCGGTACGGAAACCACTTGGCCTGTTTTTATCTTTCCAACTTAACACAATATTTAAACTGTGGTAGGACCACACAACAGTGTTCACTGTTGCAGGAATAAGCATGTCCGTCCGGGTAAGTACCACGATCTCACAGAAGACCGGCGTAAAGTAGAAGTGTTCGTTATCAGCCCTATAGGTGTTGCAAATGTCCGTGGGCGGCAGTTATCACTTAACATCAGGCGAACCGCCAGCTCGTATACAACATCGTCACATAAAAAAATAAAAACATTATCATATCATTTTGTTCAGTATCGTCTGCAAGGCGAGAATTCCTCAAGTCGCGATTGAATGAGGAGCATGATGCTAATATGTGGTTTTGCTGAAGCAGATCTAAACCTCAGAGTCGTTACGTTCTGCAGCTATATGGACTGGCTCTACCAGTCACAAGATAAATGCGGTGGAGGTTTTTTCTTAGGGTTTTGTTTTTTTACGTGGAGGTATTTACTCATTTTAATTTCTTAAAGGTCGCCTAACTTAAAGACATCACACTTGCACTTGCTAGTGTCCTTTTAGCTTACCATATTCTTTTAATAAGCTGATAAGTCATAAAAGTATATTATTTGAATAGAATAATTTTTACGAAGAGGCTGACATTTATTTCTCAAAGGAGACTTTACGTACAAACATCTTCAATTCTCAAATCTAACGAGCGTGTTAAGCAGCGTATATGCGCAGGTTTATTTAGCGAATAACAGTACATATTCGATTTTATGGGCAATGTCAAACCTCCCGTTCAATGTACCGTATACTGCATATTGGTGTGATATTTTGCTAAGCAAATATCCCACACGACAGAAATACTAGTCTTACCGATATTGGCAGGCACGTAATATTAGTATAATAGTTATTTGGTACGCCCTAACAAATAACTTCGTAGATATGCATCCCAACTGTTTATTTGATCACTGTGTTTAATCCTTACTTATATTATAAATGAGAAAGTTTGTGTGCATGGATGGATTTTTGTTACTCTTTCACGCAAATACTACTGAATGGATTTTAATGGAACTTTACAATAATATAGCTTATACATCAGAATAAGACATAGGCTATAATTTATATACATTTTTTTTAAGTCTTTCTGTTTTAATGTTACACCTTCAGCCTTTTCTACGCAGACTTAGTCGCGGGCAGCAGCTAGTCTTTCATAATTTTGCCAAGCTCTGAAAGGCTTGCAGTGAATGAGTATCAGGTCTGAATTAAGCTGATAACGATTTTATTTGCTAGGATTTTTGTTCTATCAAATCTGATGATTGAATAAAGATTTTCTGTTTTCGCAGACTGTAGACTCACATGGCCAGTTACGTTTTATGTCATCTCTATATTCTTTAACTTTATTTGTTCAATATAAGAGAGACCGCATTCACCAAAACGGGTGCACATTGTTCGTTCTTATAGGAATTGAATCATTTACAGGTGGTAAATATATCGAGTTATCATTCTTCAATGACGAAAAATTAACTTTTAAGATGTCAAGCTTCTTTGTGACTCATATTTTGCAAAAGTACAGGCAATTTATACTAGGAACAAACATAAATTAATTCTACCCGCAACCAGACTGCGTAGGATAACTAATTCTTTTATGGGACAATGTATACGTTTTTACAACAAAATCCCAGAAAACGTTCACAATGTAACAATTTCTAAATTCAAAAAAATTGTTAAGGAATTGTGTGTTAAAGGCTATTATAATGTTAGTGATTATTTAAATGATAACACATCCTGGAAATGAAATGATCGCTCCAGGCTCTTTCAATTTCTTTAATACATCTGAACAAAAACATTTCTTCATTTGATAAACAATGGTAAAAAAAAAATGTCCCGCTGAGTTTCTTTCGCCGGTTCTTCTCAGGTCAGTGGCTTTTCTTTCCGAAACGGTGGTAGCCTTTTGACAATCAATAAGAAAGTGTAATGCTTCTGTATTGAATAAAGGTATTTGATTTGATTTGATTTAAAAAAAATTACTGTATTGTGCTGGAAACTTGTTGTCCTGCAAAACTTATTACGTAGTTCAGCAGGCAAGTGTTCATTGTGATAGATCTCTTTGCTCTGTGAAACATAGATTACCCACGGCAGCTAACTAAAAAAGATGGCGGAGAAAGACTCTATTTGAATATCCCTTTGCAAAGGTTCATTTATGATCTGTACATAGTACGAGTTAAGGTATTACTTTGATTGCAGATTACTACAATACCAGGATAACCAAAGGGATGTAACCCTTTGGTTATCCTGGTTTTTTAGTTCACTAATATAATATAGGTATCACTAATTCCATATTGAACTTAATATTTGGGTTGAAAGAGTTCTTAATTTGACGGCCTGTCCCAACGAATATAAAGTGCATGTAAGGTCGCTAAGTTAAACTTAAAATATTAATACGTTTTATAAAAAATTGTAATATTTGCGTAAATAAGAAAATCAGTCAGTCTCTTAGTCTATTTTATATATCAATGTACTAATGATGAAATTGAATGATCTACAATCGTTAATTTTAAGCACTGCTTTTCAGATCCAGTAAGTAACATGTTACTCGTACAATTACTTTTCAGGTCTACATGCCATATAACGTATATTTTTATAATAGATGACAGTAATTGGTTACGATCGAAAATTTTTAAATTTCCCCAACTATATTGGAGTTATAGAGAATGAATATTATATTCAATTAAGCAGCATTTCTTAATACGTTATATCTACTGAGAACTCTTGCAGCTATAAA